TGTTAAGAAGGCGGTGACTAGACAATTACAGCTGGTAAAAAAATTTAATATGTGCTTTTAACTGAAATTTTAAAGACAGACTTTTAAATTGGCTAACTGAAACAGGCTTAGTATGGTGAGTTTCACTGTTTACCAGAATGACTCCCAGGAAAAACAGGCTTTTATCGTTGCAAATCCTCTCCCTAAGCAGGGTAAAACTATCAAGATCAGTCCCAGTTTTGTCCTGTTCTGTCTATAGATTCCCCTTTTGGCCAGTAGGTGTTGCTGGCCATTCCATTCTTTCTGCAGCGTTTAGCACCTTTCTTAGTTCCCATTGTTTTTCCCTACTCCCTGGCCCACGGCATGGTTGAATAGGCTGAGCATCCGGCTGAGAACTGTGCTTCCCTTCTGTCGCGGGTTGGACATTTTAAGTTTAGTGAGCTACCTTGTGAATTGGTAACTTGGTTTTCCACATTTCTGTATTTGTTTTTGTGTTGTGCCGTTGCTCTTGATTATCCCTGCTCATATCTAGTTTTGTAGATAAGTCTTGTTTAACCGTTGTTCCCAGTTTCCCCTAATGCTTGAATTGTTAGTGCTCCGTGATTGTTAATTACCCTCACCTGTTCCTTATTACGCCCAGTTCCTAGTGTTTAGTTAATCTGTATGGTCCACACCCATCTCTTGTCTTGACTTTGTGTATATGTGCTTGCTCTCGCTTTGATCCTCTGTCAGTCGTCGAATGTGCGTTTGTTCCCTGTGATTTATGCAGATGTACAGATCGTGTAAGAGTTGCTTCTTATGCTTCCTTTAGCCTTTTCTGATGTTTAGTGTCATTTTTGGTACTTGTTGTTTGTCTTTCCTACTCTTCGTTTAGAACCTTCATGGCTCCCTTCGTTTCCTGCCCTGCCAAGTTCAGTGTAAATACCACCACCACTTTGGATTGTCACTCCTTCCCACACACCCCAACATGACAAAAACTGCTTTTAATGAATGTTTTATTAGCAACCTGATTATACATGAAGGTAAATGTGATTGCCCTATATACACTCCAGCTAGTTATTCAGGCATTTTTAAATATACCTCAATGGGATATCTTGTATTATTATGTGGTAAATTCAAATGACAAATACAGATTCCTTTTTATTTCTTAGATCTTTGTTTATATCTTTATTTACAGTACATTACACAAACTACACATCTCTGGATTACACAATAAATGTATCTGCATTTTTTTTTATATATATATTTCATTTGGTATTTCCAAGCAGTATGTGGGGTTATTGCAGTACCAAGGCTCCTAGATATGTTCTTTAGCAGTTTAACATCCATCAGTATTACACAGCTGCTTATCCAGTACAGGGAGATGAAATTAGCCAGGGGCTGATTCAAGGAAACACAGAGTGCCATGCAGGGGACATCCAGGATGGGATGCTACTCCAACACTCCATCCACTATGGTCAATTTAAATACAGAGTACGGACATACTTCGTGATAAAAAAAGTACATTGTCATGGGAAATTATGTAAATGTGCTTGAAAGACGAACGGATACATGGATCAGGTAAAGTCAACAAACAATATAAATGTTGTTGGTAGTTTATTTGCAATTTTTAAGCTGACCTCATCTCATTTAAAGTGAATTTGCCTGCATTGTCATACAGATACCAATATGATTTGCTCTCCATTCTCCATATCGCAAATCTATTTTCTCACCCTCAAAGGATTAACATGTCAGCATTTTTGTGTGTTTTTGTTGGCAACAAAATTCACAGCTAAAATATTACCAAATTATCCAGTGCAACTATACCTAGCTAAGCCCAGTATAATTCCTAGTTATAGGTCTCTTGTCCTGTACAAGCATCTTTTTAGTCAGAAAACAGCATTTTGTTGTTGCAAAAATTGTTCTTGAGTTATTGGTGGAGAATATTTCTGTCGAGCCACAAATAAAGCACTCAGAGAGTCAACATATTCAGAGAGAACAGGAAGTATAGACACTCTACTCACCATATCAACACTTTCACAACATAGCTGAGTTCAGCTGATGTTATATTTTATTATCCAGAGTTGCTACAATGAACCACTGAAACAAACCAAAACCTTCTAAGTATATGATAATCCAACATCACCCATGCATATTCTTAACAGATCCATGTAACTGCCTCTTTGATAAATCATTTTATAATTATAGATTAGTCAGAAACAGCAATACGTATCTCTCAACTGCAGTGTAAATTTATTTGAAACACTTTTCAGAAAAGGATACGATTAAATTTATACGTAATCGCACCAAGCTGATCTTCCAAAAAAGCAGCCAAATGTTTAACTGTATCATTAAGGAAATGTCTGGCTTTTAACATGATTTACATCTCATGAGTTCCTGCTATTGGTTTACCCTCTAAAAAGTATTATTTAATGTGTGCATTTAAATGCACTAAAATGAATCCGTAATAATAAATGTGGAGAGTAAGCTAATAAAGCTCAGTGCATAACTCTCTAGTAATGTACGAAGCAAATTAATCACATCTGAAAGACAATCAGTATTAATTCTTTGTGGGACCAATTAAACATCGCCAGATGAGTACATTCAAGTTAATGCATCACCCTCATTTGGAACGATTTTCTGATATTAATAATTATTGTGAGGAATTAAGTGGGGGATTAAAACTCGGAAGAAAGCCCCCGGTGTCTCCTTTGCGCACTAAAACACGGAGATAGAGTAGGTTAACGCGAATGATTCTTTCCGAGTCATCCAAAATAAAATAAAAAAAAGAAAGAGTTCTGCGATTCGATGCGACTGCTGGTCATTCTAGAGAGCGGAGAGTCTCACCGCTGAGCCATGAAATGAAACCTATAGCAGCTGATATAGCGCTACAGCCCCAACGGAGCCTGGTTTGCCCGGGGTGGGGGTGGGGCCTCCCTCTCCTACATAAAAGTCCTTTTTTTTCAATGTCAGTTTCCAGTTTCACTACATTTAGAGTTATGTTACCTTATTTAGTAATTATTATACTCATTGTGTCGTAACATTTTAGGATTTGACAGGGAAATATAGTTTACGTCGACTGAACAACTGCCCTCAATATAACGCGTTGATATCACTGGTTAAGCAAAAATCCTCGGGGGATTTAAATTTGTATTACATTAATATGCTCAATAGACTGTAGCTTAATACCCCATGAATAAATAACTTCTTCTTTATTTAGGACGAGCTACGGTACGGCAGCGGTTATTTGTGAGCATTTACCCCAGCCAAAAATAATCTAATCCAGCAACTCCAACAGGCGTTGCTTTGAATTTCACACCATGAAAGATTACTCCATATTTGCTATAACTCATCAACAGTTGATAACTTCAAAGTACGGTATTTTACTGATCGTTGTGTATCCTCCTTCGGTTACTCAATGAAAAATATATGTAGAGATATATAGAGAACATGCTAATGTAAATGTAGGTATATGCATAAAAAATAAATCAAAAATGTTATTTAACACATAAGCAATTAAAGGAAATTATAAAGTGTAATGTAACTGGGAAAGTATACATTTTAACAGGGTCAGTTAGTTTTGAGGAGTCGATTACGTGTTGCTTTCTTTGGCAATATACCCGACATATTTTTTTGCTCGTTTTCTATAAAAACACACAGCGATGCTGCCGCCCGTTCGCGTCGAGCTGCAGCCGGTCCTCGCGGCCGCCCGGCCCACTCCGGCCCGATGATTCGCTCTCCGCCAGCGCTCTCCGCGGTCCTCTTCGGGCACATGCACCAGCCGCCACTTATGATTGGTCCCCGCAACATCCCTTCGCGCACCGAACATCAAAAGTCTCCAATTGTGGCTTGATTCTATGCGGTGGGGGTGGACGAATTCTTTGAGCATTGGTTTAGGAGAGAAAAAAAAGAATATGTGTTTATTGGCAAAACAACCACATTCTGTTACTTGCCTCTTTGCTACCCACAAATAGTACCGCAACAACAAAACACTTAAATAGTTCGTTTTGTCACTTGGTGATATTAATTCGTATACATAGCCTACAAGAAAAAAATGCTTTTGTGCACAAATATTTACAAGTTAATGTATAATTTATAATTACAAAATAATAAAACAGGAAACCGCACCTAAAATAGGGGAAATGGAAAACACCAAATAGTGTAAGCTACTCCACAGCTCCATCAAGGGAAGCTATCTTAAAGTCAACATTTGAACACTTACTCGATAACATGATTTGGTTTCTAACGTAGTGGATAATATAATCGTCCAACAGTTCATAATTATAGCTACGTTTCTTCCTTTTTTCAAACTTTTGCTAGTTAGTAACTGTATGCCACTGCTCCTTTTGGTTAAATATTCTCGATCGTCTATGTAATATTTTCCTAACATTTTGTCACGAGTTGGGGTTGAAGGTCACAATTATTAATATTCCTATTTTTAGGCTTCCCGAAAAGAGCAAATGCATGTGTTGCTTTAACCACATCTCATAAGCAATTTATTTAGACCAGGCTAATTCCATAAGACTGTGACAGTATCACTAACATACCTATTTAATTAAACCCGAAATTTAAAAAGTTGGTATTGCATTATATGTCTTTTTGAAAGTTGCCATTTTGGAATTTCTAAATCTTACTTGCTTTTGACTGCATTCGTGATAAATTAGTATTACGAATAATGAATTGGTATATAAAGACAAAATGAACAAGGTTTCGCTACACGTTAGGCTTATATTTACCGTGTGTCAATTCATCATATTGAGACAGTAAAAATAGGGTTAGACAGAGAAGCCACATTTAAGGTACATACAACTATGTTTGTCTTAAACAAGGAAAATGTTTTATTTTTGAGATAAAATATATTTTCGTGGCATCTGCATTTACTTATTATACGTAATCGGAAGTATTTCTGGACACTATGAGTAATTTTAATACAATGTTGTTGACTAGCTTTGTACGCATCTAAAAGTGCGCATGACTGATCGTATGTGTGTGTGACAGAAAGGGAGAGAAGACAGAGGAGGGGAGAGTTCTGTTCGTCTTTCACTGCTCCATCCGGGAACTTTCGAATTAGCATTGACAGCCGAAGCGCAACTTTTCCAGGAGCAAAGTGAAATCAAGCCGCGCACTCGGACAAAATATAGGCCTTCGTTTTCAACTCGAAATCACCGAATTTAAAATATTATAACCCCTTGGACTACATGAATCGTCGCTAAGAGATCGTAGGAGTGGATCTGTCCAGGTGCTGAAATCTTTTTTCCATCTTTAGAGCACTTTGTTCACTGGCGTAAAGTGAGTGATGAGTCCTATTGCCAGTAAAGAAACAAGAACTTGCTTTGCAGGCTGAGTAGTTCTTCTTTCGATTGTTATTGCCGCTTTTTAAAAAATCTTTATTTTCCGGAAACTTCACCTCGATTGGTTCGAAAGTGAAAGAAAAGTGTTTTGGAAGTCGGAACATGGAATTACAAGGCCTACAAGAGGCGTTGAAAGTAGAAATCCAGTGTCATCAGGTAAAAGAAAAAATCTTATTATTATACCCTTATTGGTCTTCTAGGCGAAAGGGAGCGAGCGAGAGCGAAAATCCGAGGGAGATCAAACGCGACCGGTTACAATCTGGAGAAATAAGTAGGCGATCTGTACTGTTTTACTTCTGTGTCTAAGGACGGCATAACATGTTGTTTGGAGAGAAATTGTTAATGTACTTTTTGGAGTAGTTTGGCAATTTCGTGGGTCTTTTTGGAACAACAAGCATTTGGAGTAATAATGCGGTGGTTTCTGTGTAGCGATCAGTACGAGACTTGAATATTTATGAGGTGCAGGGAACTGACTCGCTGTGTGCTCGCCGCTTTGTTCCTCCCTTACACACTAACTTGAAACACTTTTGTAATTCTTGTTTTATTCTGTTTCCGTTCAGAAACTAGTTGCACAAATGAAGCAAGAACCACAGGTAAATTGCCATTTCTAAAGTATTGTTATTGTCTTTAAACGAGGCAGTTGCATTGGGAGAGAGTGGAAAAACTTTATCTGGATCTATCTTTTTCCCTCCCTCTCTCTTTCCCCATTTACTCACCGGAGATTTCACTGCTTTGTCCTCAGTGTGACTTTGCAGGAAAAACGCAACGCAATTAATTCAAGTTTTTTTTCCATTATCGACGGTGTTATACAAAGTATTTGGGGGGTGTCGTTTTCATTACACTGAATATGTTTTGTTCAATTGTAGGATGGAGAGCTTAAGAAACAACTACACGAAAGGCAAACAAGAATAACAGCTCTAAGCGAAAAACAAGTAAGCTTTTCTCACTGTGTTGATTTGTGGCAAATTACTGCAATTTGTTTCATGTCATAGCGTAGCTTAGTATTGTGCTCCAACGGTGTTCGGGACAAATACGGATTATCAAATGGTTGGAAAGTATCCGATTTTATTTTGGGCGAAAATCGAGTGAAGTCCCATTGTTACACAAAGTCCTGACGGTCGATTACTATTTTGTTCGGATACACTCTTAAGTTCTGCAATATGAAATGTTGGAAAAAAATTTAGCGTCCATTTTGAGTAGGTCGACATATTTCTGGAGAGTAATAAAGGGGAGGATGTTAAGTGTCCTGCGATTACTTTAAAACTGTGGAGGTATATTTAAGTATAAATGTATATATTCCGGAACCTGTGGGCGCATTTAAAAAAAATATTTTTTATGGACTTATTCATTACTTTATTGTCATGAGCTATTATTTCTTGGTGGTCACATGACACGATGGTAGCATTTGATTCGACTTCACTAGTCCACTTTCACTTTTTTCATAATCCTCCATCAGACGGTGCTTAAGATTAACTTTCCCTTTTTCCCCTCTCTCAGTTGAGTAAAGCTGTGTATTCGTGGGGGGTGGGGTGTTATTTATCAACCAGGGTGATTACAGTTGTGCCGCTTTTTGTATGGACGCGCAGTATTTCAGCACCACGAACAGATGCCATTAGAAAGCTGCGCTACATCCCCCCAACCCCCATCACCATGAGTCTCGTTAATTTACAAAGTTGCCGAAGCTACGACTGGAAACAGCAGTGAAACACTTTGTGAAACATGCAAACGCGGCGGCACGGCTGTGCGCCACTGGGTGTGTGCAGGGGAACGAGGGGTTTTCACGCGTATGGCGCTTTTTGCTTAAGTTTAATCGATCGCGTTTTCCTTCGGAATGCAGTTTTCAGCACTTGGAACAGCGCCTCGATCCCTCCCTCTACCACCTCCACCTCTCCGCAAAGGCGCTTGAAATTTTCCGTAAACGTGCTGCGAAATGAGGGTCGCAGCTTAACCTGGGATTTGGGGGTTTTATATTTTTGGCGTTTGCGAAACATTAAGGGATTCGCGCTGTCGGGTGGTGTGTTTTTTCTCTGCCGTGTTTTCGCCAAGCGCTCCCATTTGATAGTGGAAGCTTCCATTTTGTGCGAGAAGGGGGAGCCGGTTCCTTTCCCAACATGGAGAGAAAAAAAGTCAGCGGAGTTTGGTGGTGGGGGGATGGGCCCCATTCATGCTGAACATTACCATTTTGATTGCTTTGATGCTGTTTTTGGAGAAGGGGGAGGGAGGAAAAGGGAGAGAGAAAAACCGAGTCAGCACGGCGCAGGCCATGTTCAGAGGCTGGGCGCAGCCGATTCGGGCTCTTCTCAGAGGCGAAATCTGACCTCGGATTGCTGATGCCTTCTTATATATACGGCGCTGCGTCTTTGCCGCCGTATACCGACATTTTTAGGTACAACAACTAGCCACAATTTG